AGGTGCGGCAGGCCAGGCGGAGAGAAATGGAGACCTTGCCCACGTTCCCGAAGACTGCCACGGAGAGCAAAGCGGGCTCTCTGCCCCGCAGCTACGTGTATGATGTCTGCTTCGCCACCGGGACCGTCAACAGTGAGTTTCGTTTCCTCAAGCCCCTCTTCCCCTGTTTTCCTGCCGGGCTGCCCCCCGGTCCGGGCGAACAGCGGAGCTCGGTGTGCTCGCAAGAGGCGACCAGCCTCGGGGAAGAAGGCGACTGGACTGCACAGGTGAGGGAACTGGCCTGGCTGAGGAGATAGGGGGAGAGGGGAGGGAGCAGTGCGGAGCGGAAGGGGCTCACTTGTGACAATAGGAGCTCTCGATGTTGTAGAACTGGTAATAGAGGAGCTACTGGGGTGGGAGAGGAGGTGGGAGTAGAGAGAGTCTTGGAGCCGCTGTCCTGGTCTTCCCAGGAGGATCCGGCAAGGCTTAGCTGCTCCCCAGGTGCTGACTAACGGCGTCTCTGCAGACAGCTCCGTTGCCCTGAGTATTCGCGTTAGATCAGGTCTTTGGTGTCGCCACAAAGTGTGGCAGCCGGACCATGAGGAGATGAGAAGCAGAGTATAACGTGCTCGGCGTTAATCTCCAGCTCTGCAATGAGCATGGGGGAGACAAGAGGTGATCACTGAAACAGCCTTCCTCACGCTCACTTCCTCTGAGGTCAAGTCCCCTCTAAGCATAGGGTTCCTAGTTTCCTGGGGTCCATCTAGCACTTCACAAGTGTCCGGATGATGTACACCACAAACCCCGTCTTATTCGCCCCCTTAACGTTTTCGTATTTCATAACCACTGATGACTTGGCCTCACTTTACTGCGGATTCTCAGAACCACAGCCACCTCAGCATAGATAAGGACTCATCTTGACACATCAACACCAAACCACATTTACTGTTTGTAAGAAAGTGGCTTTATTCTGAGCTCTTACCACTTGAAATAATTTTCTCAGACTCATCAAAGGTTTGCAGTAGTGCCTGTGTGATGTCCCCGGTGGAGATGGTTTCTGGCTTTAGATTTTCTTTCCCCATTCAGGTCAAAAGACCCACTGCCCCGTCCAACCTCCTCTTTGGCTCTGTGTAGAGAGGAGTGGTGTCACACACACAGTGGTGTAAGACATGCCCTCTAAGCCTCTCGCTGACGCCTGCTTACCTTCGGCCCCTAAATTACAACCTCCACTCTCTGTTCTTTGCAGGGCAGAGCTCCCCTCTCTGCAAACGCGGGGCCCAGACCTGCAGAAGCAGCTTGCGCTGCAAACAGGGGTATGGAGCCAACCGGCAATCCTGACCAAAACCCTTGGCTCACCCATCAGTAAGTGAAGAGAAAGACAAGTATGTCTGCCCTCACAGGGAAAAAAGAACAAAGAGACCAAACACCCACCGAAAAAGTACCAGGGAAGGTACAAGGTTTCTGAGAGAGAGAGCAAAAACACTCTTCTCTTGTGCAGAACTTTATTGGGTTTTTTTTGTAACTGTGATGTGGATGGAGGAGGAGAACTGTGTTGCATGCTGATTATACCGGGACTTGGTGTGTGATTGTGAGACTGCTACTGCTTTTAAATGTTAAGGGGAATCCTGACAGCTGGAAGCAAATCTTCCAGATAATTTTTTCCTACTTCACTTTATCTGTGTTGTTTGGTTTTGGGTTTGTTTTTCTTATGGAGAGGGATCTGTAACAATGTCTTAATTTTCTGCAGTCTGTTAAATACCAGGCCAAACAGATATTATGCAAAATTAAGTGGTGCTTGCAAAGGAATTCCTTAATTACAAGCAGAAGCTGATTACATTAGAAACGCCTGACATGGGTACACTTCACCTATTTGACGAGGAGTTTACAGGCTCTCCACACAGTAAAGAGTGGACTTAAGCATTGCATTGTATTTCTTTTTCCATAATGTAAAGTTGACATGGACACTTAACCGTTTTTGTAGTATAGAGTAGTAGAGAACTAAAAGTACCATTTGTGGTTTTACTGTAAAATAGGCTAAAACGTTTACAATAAACTTGAGGCACTGTAAAATATAGGGCATCAAGAAGCTTTCTGTTTTCCTTTCCTTTTAATAATCGATATTGGCATATAAGGTAATGTGATTTTTTTCCTGTCGTTCACACATTTTTAAGAATCAAATAACTGATGACAGAAAACAATAAAACCCGCTTGGAACTCCCTTGAGTGAGTGTGCTGTCATGAAGGTTACTTGTCACAGTCATCTCCGGGAAAATAGCCGCCCTAGCAGCGGGATTTGGGTAACAAATCCATGCCTCTGGAGTGGATATTATGCAGGAAAAATCAGAGCGACCTGGAATTAGGCCTTCTCAGAAGCCGTAGCAAGGTGGAGGGGGCTTTTCTGAGACAAGCTGAGGTTAGAGAGCCCAGCCCCTTCGCGAGGGCTCCCATCTTGAGAGGTCGTGAATTGGTAGAACAACCTGAGTCCATTCCAAAAATCCGCCCGAAAATTACTACAGGGAACTTCACGGCGATGGTTCATGGACCAGCTCACTATGGGTGCTGGACACCTGTAGCAATACACAGCTTTTTAAGCTAAACAGCCTAAAAGTAATTTCTTCAGTGTGGATAAACGGTTCAAACCGTTGTAAGGAGGGACATGCGGAAAACCAGCTTTAAATAAATCTCTTTTCCGAAGAAAAGCCAAAAAGAAGTATTGCTCATTGAAGTGGCGGCCAGACTTTGAACAGGGTTGTAGGGACAGTTAAATCTGAGAGAAACGGCTCGATTTCTCTCCGTTTCGCAGGCTTAGAGCTTGGAAATCTCCCCGTCCTTCCGCAGGTCGGCCGCCTGGTGCCGCTGCTGACTGCAGAGACGCAGAGGTTTCGCACTACTCTCAGAGCCACCGCCCCCGGGACTGCGGAGCTGCACTACCCCGGGCTGCTCTGCTCGCTGGCGGCAGGCTGGATCGGCAGCTCCATCCAGCTCACAAGGAGAGGAGATCGGTTCACTTGGAAAGGGAATGGAGGTGAGGAAGAGCGAAGAACCGCTCCCAGAGCGAGCTGTGGCTCTGATCTTGCTCCTCTGCATATCGGGGCTGAGAGCAGAAACCACCCGGTACTCTGTACTTGAAGAGGCGGAGAGAGGCTCCTTTGTGGCGAATATCGCTAAGGATTTGGGACTGACCCGTGAGGAATTATCTGCTCGACAGGCTCGGCTCGTTCATGAAGGAGAAAAGCAGTATTTACAGTTGAACCCGCACACTGGGGATTTGGTGGTGCGAGAACAGATGGACCGGGAGGAGCTGTGTGGGCAGAGCGAGCCCTGCCTACTGCGTTTCGAGGTGCTGCTGGAGAGTCCACTGCAATCCTTTCGAGCTGAGGTAAGCCTCACTGACATAAATGATCATGCTCCCGTCTTCTTAAACAAAGAAATAGTTTTAAAGATACCGGAATCTGCAATGCCGGAGGCTCGCTTTTTATTGGAAAGCGCTCAGGATTCAGATGTGGGGAACAACAGCCTTCAGCATTACAGTATCAGCTCGAACGATTATTTCCGTATTTACACACAGAGGCGTAGTGATGGGAGGAGGTATGCCGAGCTGATGTTGGACCGAGCCCTAGACCGGGAGAAGCAGCCAGAAGTGGCTTTCAGTGTCATGGCTGTGGATGGTGGATCTCCACCGCGCTCTGGAACAGCCTTGATCCGCGTGGTAGTCCTGGATATAAATGACAACACCCCGGTGTTTTCCCGGAGTCTGTATAAAGCCCGGGTATTAGAAAATAGCTCCCAGGATACCTCAGTGGTGACGGTGTCTGCTAGCGATTTAGATTCAGGAACGAATGGGGAAATAGCCTATTCCATAGTTCAAAATTCAGAAGAAAATAGCCAGACGTTTAAAATAAATTCAGAGACAGGACAGATTCGACTCAAAAAGCCACTGGATTACGAAGACACAAAGACCTATGAGATAGACGTCCAGGCCACAGACAGAGGGGGCCTGTCCGCGCACTGCAAGGTAGAGGTGCAGGTGGAGGACGTGAACGACAACGCCCCAGAGGTGATCATCAGCCGAGATAGACGTCCAGGCCACAGACGGAGGGGGCCTGTCCGTGCACTGCAAGGTAGAGGTGCAGGTGGAGGACATGAACGACAACGCCCCAGAGGTGATCATCAGCTCCCTCACCAGCACCCTCTCGGAAGCCGCCCCGCCGCACACCACCGTGATGGCCCTCTTCAACGTGCGGGACCGTGACACGGGTGACAATGGCAGGACGTCCTGCGAGCTGCTGGGCCAGCAGCCCTTCAGCATCACGACGGTGGCGGCTGACGCATACGCGCTGGTGACATCGGAGCCACTGGACCGGGAGCAGGTGCCGGAGTACAATGTAACGGTGCAGGCCCACGACGAGGGCTCCCCCGCGCTCTCAGCGTCCAAGACGCTGGTCGTGCGGCTCTTGGACGAGAACGACAATACGCCCACCTTCACCCAGGCCATTTACACCATGGTGCTGAGCGAAAACGAGCCCACGGGGACAAGCCTGGGCCGCCTGAGCGCCACGGACATCGACGAAGGGAAAAACGCCCGCGTAAGATACGCGCTGGGACCGTCCTCGCCAGGTGCCCCCGTCGCGGCATCTCTCGTGTCGGTGGACGCAGA